TCTGCCAAGAACGTATATGAACAGGTCCCAGTCCGAGAAAAGGATGGAAGGATCCTGTTCATATGGACCCGTCGTCAGACAGAACACTAAATAATAATAATAATAATGATTTATCGTAAAACACATTTCCGCGATGCTCAAAAAGCAATTTCTATTGTACGTAGGAGAGGATAATTTTGAAACGTAGGCCTGTAAAACGCATTGAATATTTCGGGACGATGGTCAATTTCCTCTGCGAGAAAATACCACAGACCACTACTCCATTGTAGAGAAAATTATGGTCAATCACAGACGAATGTCTGGTGTAATTTTGACCAGTATCAAAGTTTGCAATTTTGGAAGTCGGTACAAAATAATAAATCTTACTTCACGAAATAAATTATTACTATTTTTTCTGGCACGCCGTATATTCGTATAACTAGGTTGTTTTAAGTTTTTCCGTCAAACACATTTTGTTTTACTTTCAAATAAATATGATCCGAAAAAATTCTTGGACTTCGTCCATCGTCTGGGTTTTCAAAAGAGCACATCGGGCCCACCTGAGCATGTGCCCCTTCTAATTTTCACCTGAGGATGGAAAAAGATTCAGTTTGTGAAACACTGTGTTCTTTTGAATACCAGACGATGGACAAAGTCCAGTAATTTTGTAATCCCGAGTGTAACAGACTATCATCAGAGTCCTTTAAAACTGGCAAATAATATATTTAAATATTTCGGATTACTGTTTCCGCTCTCTTATTAGCCATCATCAGCCCTAATTAGTACTTTCGTAACACACGTTACGAGACATAATTATGTAACGTTTATCTCGTACATAGACTGTTAGTTATTAAAACATTTATTTATTTATTTATATATATAAGAAATGGAATTTGCTCCTCCAAATATAGAAAAAAAAATTGTTTCGTCTTGTTAATATTGTTAATGGACGTACAGGGAGTCTAAGATTGTTGGTTAATAAATTTTAAATGGCTTTAATACCTAGAATATCTGTGTGATGTGAGATATAACTTACAGAATACTCAATTTTCAACGTCTCTTTTCGATTCGGAAACATCAGCCACTAATTGTAGCCAATATCTCATAGATACACATCTCACCGCTCAGATATGTACGTAAAAGTGTAAAGCTGTTATCAGTACACGTGACGGTAATCTCATATCATGATTCATGACCATTTCAACAAGGACCTGTGTACCTTACAGATCTGCCTTTTCAGTTCTAGAACTATACCCTGGCTATGTTACGTCTTTAAACATTGGCCCTTATCAGGCTGACACACGCAGACGCTGATTGACATTTAAAAATCGCTTCTGATTCGTAAATGTTTCTAAACTAGTTTACACACTCACAATAATTTTAGTCGAAGTGTAAAAACACTAATTTTTAGTGTATCAGCTATCCAAAAATATTGTTAAGAGACTTTGCATATCTTGTTGACGACCAATTTCTTGCGGGTGAAAATCCGGTACACATTTCAGTGCTAGAAACCTAACCGCATTAAAGAAATTTACCACATTGGAGCAAAACTTCTTCCAGCATGCAGACGGTGCAACGAACCAGAGATCACATTTCAAAGAAGCCCACGTGAATGAAGTTTCGTTTATTTTGGAACAGGTTGTAAAGTTTACTTTTTTATTTAGAGGCTGGGTCACTTATTTAACTTTGTTAACCATTCTGTCAGTTTTGTTTTATGTAGTAATCGTGCGTTTCTCGTCTGGACAAAATATAATGTTACGACTAAAACTTCAATCATGCGGATGTTACATCTGGAGACGTGAAAGTTCTTGAAGCCAGTGACAGAAACAGAGATGTTGATTGTTGAATCAACAATATGTACATTAACTAAATAAAGATTTAATATTTTATTCCATATCTACTCGTAACATAGTTCTTTTCCACTGTTTGGATAATTATATTTGCGTGTGACAACGTTAACGAGTTATATAGGCCATGTCAGTGTAAAGTCCTCGCCTACTTTAATTAAATTCATTGTTGCCGTTGTATAAAATGATTACGTTTTTGAAATTCAATAAAGAGTTTTTTGGTGATCGTAAATTATGAGTAAAAATTAAAAAAGACGTTCAAACCAGTTATGTAAGACAGATGTTTTAGCGAAAGAAGTAATGTCTCCAATAACGTACGTGGAGCATTAGTTATAGTCGCTGCCCTTTCACGGGGGACTCACTGTGTTCAATGTACGTCACAGTGTAAATGAATCACCCTATGAAGAAATGGTCTCATTTCTATTCCATTATCTTTAAAAAAAACATATTATCTTCTAAGGAAAACATGAATTCTTTTCAACAAATGAAGAACAGTACAAAATTGTATTTCATTAACATATTGCTTGCATAGAATTGCTTGGAAAAAATCCGACGGTATAAATCCTTAAAATATTTATGATTACGCGACATAACCTAACTTATATATTCTGTATCAAAATTCCATACAGTTGAGGATATGTAAATTAATTCATTGAATCTTCTACCAGAAATATTCTCCCCTGGTTTCTTCTTCGTATGTTGGCCACACTGTCTTTTTAGATCCATTCTTAAACTTAAAGCACGTATCGTCGCAACTTCGTAATATCTTGTAACCTTTCTAGATGTGACGTCATGTAGTCTAGTCTTGTAGGTGATTCGATTCGAAGGAAATTGTTTCCATATACAAGACAGAAATGGAAACATACGAAATATTATTGCATTATATCGCAGAATACCACAATGTTCGATGCCAGACCGTAAAAACCTCATATCATATCTTGTATCTTTGCTGCTGTCATAGGAATGTTCCTGTAGGATTCGCTGAATCAGAAGAGAGACAAGTACTTTTGTCTTCGTGACTGATTTAATATGAAAGTATTATTATCGTGCTGTTGTACGCTGAAATGTACGTATACAGGATTATTAGATTCGCAAGTATTCTCACTTCAACTGGAAGAGAGTTTCCATTGGCGTTCTCTTGTGTTAAAAATATGAACTAACTTTCCCTTTGCGAAAATATAATGGCCTGAGACAAACCGAATTATTTAACGTAACATTTGATTCTTGTCATTTTAACCCGACACAAACTCTGACATTTCTGCAACCAGACACGCCCAGGCCCTTATAAACCTCTGACAGAAACTCGTAAGCCATATTCAAGTTGATAGCTATTACGGTAATTTGATCTAATTGCTGTTCATTTCAACTCAGGCCAGTTGCGATTCCAAAGGGCGAAGTTTTACGGAGTTCGTTAATCGTGCGGCCTCTTAAGGCACAGCTCGTAAATGTGACTGAAGGTCACGTGATGCTAAAGCCTTGCTATGACTGACACATTGCACGATGTTTACGCGAGGACCCACTCCCTGCGCTCACGTGTCCTGACAAAGCTTCTGTCCTGTCCTGTCCTTACAGTTTGACCAGAGATTATCATTCACCAGCGCGCGGTGGACAGAACTTGTATTATTTTACTACGCACTTTGGTGGCAGAAATATCTCTTTATAGTTTACAGTTGAATATACGGTCGGAACACGAGGCTAGAAGCGAGTTTTTGTTTTAATTAAGTTTATCTGTTTCCGCGTTTCTAACAATTTTTGTTCAAAGGATATTAGTGGCCTATCCATAAGAGCTGCAAGTCTTGTTAAACGTCTGCGCAGATTTCGTGCGTGTAATCCACGATTTGCTGGAACATCACCGCTTGAAACTCGCAGTGGACGGTCTGCTCCGTTCACTTGTTTACGAGTGAAACCGAACGTCAGGAAATCTGCCTGATATTTCCTCACTTTTTTCACACGGCAGGAGAACCGCGTCTTTCTTCTGTCTCTGACATACTTACCACTTTTAGACTCTTTTATAAACCCAGAATCGGTATTTTTACTCGCAGTGCGTTTGAACTCTACGCTCTTCTTACGTATACTATATCAGGCGATTCTGATAGACTCCGAGGCCACAACGAATACTAATAACCCTAAATCTGACACGTATTTTGAATGTCTTTGCTGGTAAAACAACCAGTGCGCTCGGGTCAGTTTAATTACATAATACCACCTGCAAGTGTTACTACTCGTATATTGACTGTGTAATCTTTATGCTACATGATTGCTATTAATTGTACTGTTGTAAACAGCTGATAGTTTCATAACTTTGTGCAGGCAAGTAAGAAAAGCATTCCCATGATTTAAGAGTATCACTTCCTATTTTTCACTCACCCTTCGGAGCGCGCCATCTAGTTTGGAAACCACTTACTAGTCCTCTGAGTACGTTTGACGATTTTGTCACATAAGGACTATATTACATAAGATGGTAAAGTTGCGTCATATTGTGATATAATAAATATATATTATTTAAATCTTGTCCGTCTAATCACAATAAAGTGTTATTAAATATTAAAATATTACAATAATTAACATTTAAAATATTAAATGATGTTCTTTATCGAAAAATTCGATATAAAATCGAATATTTCGATAAAGAACATCATTTAATATTTTAAATATTTTAAATGTTAATTATTGTAATATTTTAATATTTAATAAGACTTTATTGTGATTAGACGGACAAGATTTAAATAATAATAAATAATATATATTTATTACATACCTTAATATTTTTCTTTTCCACCATTTTGTGATGTGTAATGACTGTTTTTTTTTTCAGGTATTACCACGATACTTTGGTCTTTGCTGCTGGATACCACATCATACGTCATTAAAAGACCAAATGAGTATATTTTTCTCATCGATGGATGATAAATCGTGGAAGGAAGCAAGGATATGATTCTGGTTAATTTCTGATATCATGTCAAAACCGTTTTCTCTCTTGCACCTGAAACGAAAAAGAATATTTTTACATTTTTGAACAGATAAAATACAACAACACAGGTATAATTCGTACCCGAATACAGAGTTTACACACACGATCTCTGTATATATTGGATTCAAAGTACGTAGCCCAACGTATCCCAGCCTAACCTAACCTCATCTTTCAAAACATAACCTAACCTATCCTCACCTAACACAACCCACCTTACATAAGATTACCATAATTTCCTTTCTTAATTTCGTTACCATGGTTACTGGATACTACTGAAATATCTCATAACGTGTTTGTTATGGCCTTGCTTAATCTAGCCCAATACAGTCTAACCTAACCTAACCTAACCTAACAAACCTAACCTAACAAACCTAACCTAACCAAACCTGACCTAACCTAACCTAACAAACTTAACCTAACCTAACCTAGCCCAGTCTACGCTATTCTAACCTATTCATGCCTAACCAAAAAACAAAACACTATCTTATCCTAGTCTGACCAACCCTGGCCATTTCCGTCATGTTGGTATTACCGATCGAAGGAAGTTTAAAAGTACGATTTTAAAGTACACCCCAATCACATAATATTCATGACCAGTATAACCAGACGAACGGATAATACAAATTATTGTCTAAACCATTGGAGCTTCAGACTTTTTATGAATTGTTACTCATTTATATTTGGTTAAATTTACAGGTTTGTTTTATTTCTACGTCAGTGAACTTCTTAATTAAAATCAGTTACGAAATACAGGTAACACAACAAATATTAACTGTAGACAGTTCCTGATTTATGTCCTCGAAATGTCCTTAGTCCACACAGGACTTACCGTTTCAGTGAAAATAGTTCAGCTTGCATATTGAGTGACTGTCTCGCGGAATGGGCGATCGGGATTTGACTCCAGGCAATGGCAAACGGAATGTGACCCTCAGATTATTGTCCAATAGGTACCGTGGCCTCTTTTTCTGGTGATAAACCGGCCGGGGCATGAAGCTAAACACTTACTAGTTAATGAATGCGTGGAGCTCAGTCAGACACCACGGATAATGTGACCTTCAATTTACTTTTATTAATAAAAAGTGTAGATCCCTAAAGTTCTTAATTATATTTTAAATAAGAAAGAATATCGTCAGTAGTGGAAGAATTCTCTTATCGTAGCAATTTACAAGAAGGACGATGCAACGGACTGTAGTAATTAAGGCATATCACTGTTACCAACTTAATACGAAATTTTAATGTGCAGTATTCTCACTGAATTTGACACACCCATGGAACTAGTTAGGCTTATTAAAATTTGTTGGAATGAAAATAACAGAGAAGGTAAATATTTGTTTGAGACGTTACCTATTCGAAGTTGTCCAAAGCTAGAAAATGCTTTATCACCGTTGCTTTTCAACTTTGCTTTAGAAAGGTCAAAGAGAACCCGATAGGATTGAATTTGAATGGGACGCATCAGCTTCTGGTATACGCTGATGATGTAAATCTATTGGGGGATAATATAAATACCACAAAGAATAACACAAAAGCTCTGATTGAAGCTAGTAAGGAGGTGGGTATAGAAGTAAATACAGAGAAAACTAAGTATATGTTGATGTCTCGTCACCAAACTGAAAATTAAAGTATACAAAACAATAATCTTGCCTGTTGTTTTGTATGGGTGCGAAACATGGTCTCTCACTCAGAGGGAGGAACACAGATTGCAGGTGTTTGAGAATCGGGTGTTGAGGAGGATAGTTGGGCCTAAGAGGGAAGACGATGGGGCGTGGAGAAAACTGCACAATGACGAGCTTAAAAATCTGTACTCCTCCCCCAATATTGTCAGGGTGATTAAGTCGAGGAGAATGAGATGGGCTGGGCATGTAGCGAGCATGGATGGGGCAAGAGGTGTGCACCGGGTATTGGTTGGGAAACCTGAAGGGAAGAGACCGCTGGGGAGACCTAGACGTAGATGGGAGGATAATGTCAGGCGGGATCTATGGGAGATAGGAGTTGAAGGAAACTGGATTTTGTTGGCCCAGGACAGGGTCCGGTGGAGGGCTTTGGTTAATTCGGTGATGAACCTTCGGGTTCGGTAAGCCATCTAGTTAGTTAGTTAATAATTAAAATAAGTGATAATCGTTGAGTTACATTAAAAACGTTATTGTAATGAACAGTTCTGGTAGCTTTAATTGCTATGAAAAATGTTAATAGTTTATCTAGACTAGATGCAGATGAGGGGTAAGTTTCGGACTGTGCCCCCTTTTTACCGGTTAAGTGTTGTGAGGGCCCCACAGCTGACCTAGATATTATGAACAAAAAAATAGCTACTCTGTTATCGGTAACCGTGGTCATAATTTGCTTTACTGACAATTATAACGACATATATCACCCATAATTTTATACAATGATAAGAGCAACATGGCCGTCCACATTGCCACTTTCTGACCACAAGGAGAAAAACGAGCAGGCCTAATTCATTCAATTTACAGAGTAACTTCTACGGCGCTAGTGAAGGAAGCTGGTTTGAATCTATAAATCGCTTATTGTAACGTTTTGGTACTCAGCAAGAAACGTACGAGGTGATGAGTACAGCACTCTCGAGTTGGCGCTGCTAGAATCTGGAGCGTTGTACAGTTCATCTCAAAAGTGAACATGGTTGTGATGACGGTCCCATTGTTGTTGCTCAATGTGAATCTTGTTGCTTTGATTTCGAAATTTGCTTTAAAAATCTGCTCTTAAACTCTAGTAATTGACACACGTAAATTTCACAGTATTTTGTATTTGTATTAATTTTTTACATGAAGTATTGTCTTCATAAACATCCCAACGGCATTGTATAAGAAATGTTATTCTTGTTAGTCATTAGAATTTACGTAAAACTTAAGTTAATAATAAAATAGCAGTAATGATGATAGTTATGATGCAGTTTTAAGACTTAATTTTGACCCGGCATAAATTTAAAAAAAAATTATATATGCGTGTGTGTGTGTGTGTGTGTGTGTGTGTGTGTGTGTGTGTGTGTGTGTGTGTGTGTGTGTGTGTGTGTGTGTGTGTGTGTGTGTGTGTGTGTGTGTGTGTGTGTGTGTGTGTGTGTGTGTGTGTGTGTGTGTGTGTGTGTGTGTGTGTGTGTGTGTGTGTGTGTGTGTGTGTGTGTGTGTGTGTGTGTGTGTGTGTGTGTGTGTGTGTGTGTGTGTGTGTGTGTGTGTGTGTGTGTGTGTGAATGCCTGAATCAAAAGAATTAGTTAAAGAAATACAATTTATATATCTGAAGTGTAATCTACCTTCTCTCCGTATTGCTGTCTTGATACAAATCAGTTTTTTAAACTTGTTGCTCTAAATTATGCTTCATATTTTCTTTAATATCCTTTTAAACAGACCTAGAATTCGGGAAATGGAAAGAAGTCATTAGGAGCTATGTTAGGAGTATGTTTATTTATTCACAGAGATATAAGCATCGTCGAACTGTCTCGATAAAGAGCAACGAAGTCTGGTCTTCCGTAAGTCATGCGTGCAGGTATTAATTTTTGTTGCAAATCCTGTTCATAAGTAACACTGCTTTATAACGAAAGACAAATACAAATATTTTTTCATAATTGATGGACTGATGTGCAAATAGTACATTGTAGTTCTAATACCTGCAAAAAAAATGGATATTTAATTACTTTCCAGAACTTCTGTTTCAAAACGAGAACTTGAAAGTAAGCCTACGTTTTAAAATACATGTACAATAATTTTTATGTAAAGATAGATATTAATATCGTAATTAACGGATCCTTTGAAATGATTTACACCATAAAATTTGTCCAGCTGATCTTTAATTGAAATTAGTCGACAGATGTATTCTGTTCCGCGCAAGGACATACGAAGAACCTGGATTTAGCCAATACTTTTCAAGGACATTTTCTGCGTATGTAATAGCATATTTCACAGACAAGGAAAATAAACCCAGGATTCGAGGTTTTCAAGGCGGTGAGTCCGAAAACAGCCATCATCAAACCCAGTGAACTTAAAAAAGATATGTGACCCACATCTCACGTGCAAGATACCTTATTCAATCACAAGTCCCAATCCAGTCACAAAATTCGAGTATCTACATTTTTTTTTAAAATCCACTTTGGGTCTTGGCCTTAATGGAGTTTTTGTGCCGGATTTCTAAAACCTTTTTTCTTTAAGTAACGTCACACGTACGAATAAATCCAATGTCAAAAACTCAAAAAATAATAAATGTTATATTTGTAGTCTTCAAAATTATTCAACTCGTGTAACAACATATGTTTCACTCGAAAAAAAACTTGGTCCTGGTTGCCACTTGTCCACAGATACAGTATCCGAGTAATCGAAACAATTATTCGTCTGTCTTTGGAATGACTCCATCACTTGGCTCGAAGACTTGTTCTTTGCATATGCATCAGAGGAAATCCTGCAAATAAATGGCTCCAGCCATTGCACTTGCAACGGAGGGGAAATGTCCAACATCCCCACTCTCTTAAACTTTTGCCTGGAAAGAAGAAAACCCATGATCTACGCCCCAGAGTCTCGTTCGGCCAAGGTCCTCGTATAGGCCTACATACAACGTTGCCGCTATGTAAGTGGAACTATAAACTTTGTTGATTTGTACAAAAGTAATTTTTGTTCTAAAACTGAATAAACACTGCAGATGTCGTGCAATATACTTACGTGTTCTAAAGATCTGATGTCAGTTAAGAAATAAAATGCACGGTATTCAAATAGAAGGCGTATTACATGGATTCTCCTTAAGCGATACATTTGAATCTTCTTAAAAGAAATAATTTTTGGTTCTAGTTATACGTAATAGCATATTAATAAGGAGGATATAAGTTATTCACAATTTGTTTTTGTAAATGTAATACACTAATTACAATTAGACATTTCATTCAGTATTAGTGCTAAAATGAGAAAGACAACAGCACTAATTTCATATAAATATTAATTTATTTTTCTTCGTAACAGGGATGTTACAAGAAACAAGTTGAAAATGTTGTAAAAATCGTTCACCATTCCTATAGGCCTACCTGTACACAAGCTGGCAACGCTGCTACAAGGCTAGAGGGGAATCTGTGTGTTGTGTGTATGCAAGGGCCGAAGGAGCGGAAAGCGATCGCAAACTATTAACTCTCTGTCATTGTTACCATAGTCATTCCTGACTGGTCTTAGTATGATATCTTTCTTTTCATGTTTGTGAAAGAAGATTGTTCCAAGCGCTACGTTATTTCAAGCACGGTAGAGGTTTGTGGCGAAATATAACGAAACTCCATCAACTCAACTACACATTTCTCCATCTATTTATACGGTTTTCGAACTAATTTCTAGGGTCTGGAACAGCTTCGTTAACCCAAGAATCAATCATTGTGACTGGCAAAAATAACGAGAATCAATGCTAGAGGAGATCAAACGTTCTTTTTCGTTTTGTGGTGTTCCGAAGATCCACCGAGAAAATATCTGAGTTGTATCTTGAGGGATGTGATTTCGAACCGGATTCATGGTTAGGCGAAACCATCAGGAAAACCGTGTTTCGTAACATGTTTAATTGATTTATGGTTTACTTAACGACGCACTGTTAACTCCGAATGTTGTGTAGTGTCGAATGAGATCTGGCAGGGTGATTATGAATCATGAATTCAAAAGAACGTGGAAGGAAGCGACCATGCTCTATTTTAAGGCATTTTTCCAGAACGTTCCTACACTCACTAAGTAACAACATAAGAAACAAGCAGAATAATTAATCCACCAGCCGGGATTTGATTTAGGAACATTCCAAACTCAAAGCAAGGCTGTGATAGGCGACGTTATGAAGTTCACGTAACAAAAATGTATTATTTCGCTGAATGAAATGACTAATATACCAAGGCCTCTGTTATGCCGTTGTTATGAACAGCTAGTGACAGGTATGTTGTGGTAGAAAACTGTTAGTTACCTCATGTAAGTAATCCTGCCATTTGCATAAACTGCATAATATATTTTGAGGTTATACGCGGTAAACAGCTCTAAGTTGTCAGGCGTACCAACGACAACGCTACAATTACATCATAGGCCTATCGTTTTTGCTTTGTCATTACGGACAGCGCGTGAGCCTGTAGCCTGTTATCTACTTCGTAACAAAAATTTTGTAAGTTTTATTGTTGTTTTATATACCAATTAAATAACAAAAGGTAAGTTTGTGTCAGCGCACCTTAAAATAGGGCACGACCCCTGGATGTGCTTCATGCTGCGGCCGTATTATATTGGAAAAGAGGTTGGGTATCCGAGAAATGGTCTGGGCGTGGTGTAAAGAGAAGGATCTCCGCCCCTGTCCGGTGGATAGACACTGGACATCCGGTCTGAAGTATTGTTGTTACTATTATTGGTTTATTTGCTTTTATAAACCACTTCCATACGTGAATTTAACCGAATTAGGGATTTACTACTACTACTACTACAGAGAAGAGACATACAGAAACAAACAAACAAACAAAAGCTGCAATTACAATCACAAAAGATCGGGGTGTTTGAGTAGTGGACGTCCTTTGTATACGAACTGTGAATTACGCACTTGTCGTTAAATACACGTTTTCTTCTCAGAAATAAACAAATGTTTGATCCTTTATCCATTATAAAAAAATATTTTTTTGGGAAAGAATAAAGACTTCCTTTCCTTTGTACCTTGTCATTTTTCAAAGAAATGAAAATGCAAAACCAATTGTTTAAGAAAGTTAAAACCGCATAGCGTAAGTTGGGACAAAATCTGTGATATTGACTTCTGGTGGAGCAGTAAACCCTGGTCAAGCGCCTCAAGCTCTCTACCGCGCTGTTCGTATCTATTATACCACTCCCCTAATGGATCAACACATTGGTGTTTATCCTCCCACGTCCTTAGTAATGTTAATACATTTTATTTATTAAGGACACACCTTATATTTAAACTGAGCTGATGAAATCCCGAAAAGTTAAATTACTAATTTAGTTACAGAGAGTATAGTACAGAACCAGGTAATCTAAACAGAAATCGTGCTCATATCCGTGGGGAGGGAGCGCTGAGTGGAACAGCCGGGCTCTATAATGGTTCAACCAATGGCAGGGGATCGTCTATCTTCCTTGCTTACGCAAACCATAGTAGTGAGGTTCCCTACTGCCAAATGAGCAGCAGAGCCAATCAGCAGTCCGCGTTTGACAGGTCCCTTGACGTTGCCATGGTCACGGGGTCACTGACGGCCTTGGTAGTCTGACAGGTGCGTGACAGTTGAAGTCTACAATATGTACGCGAAGGGGAAAGGTTCAGCGGTACCTTCAGATGCTCAAGCACGTGAAAAGTAAGTATGTCTTGAGTGATTCAACGTGGTATTAGTGCTTAGTAAATGAGCGATTCATACTCACCGATTCATGGTGTGGTGAAATTAAAAGAAAAGTGTTGTGACGCTGTGTGTCTCCTTCGTCGTGTTTGGTGACTTTTCTCTGTACATGTGGCCATCGTGTGATGTTTTAATGTGATTCCCAAGATGGCGTTTCACTAGTTACGCAACGTGCTTCAGAAGTGGAATTTAATTTCCGTAATGCTAGTCAGTTCAACAACTTAGAAGTGTCAAGTGTGCGTCTTAAGTGATACCTCCGAAAATGATAACTCCCTCAACACACTGTTTACATTACTTTTGTAAACACAAACGTTCATGTGCGCTGGTATGTGATGCTCCACAGCTTGGCACTACTAGCTAGCTGCTATGAATACCCGCTCCCTTTGCATTTAGTTCGGTTGATTTTTATAGATTTATAAACAACTTAAAACAGGGACTTTCGTCTGGTGTGCGAGAACTGTGCTATTTGCTGTGGTTATTGTATTTGCCACCAGGAAAAATTTAAGAGGTCTGTGCGAGTGAAGTACAAAATCCAAAGCCATCACGAGTTCTTTATGCATTTCTCCATTGTTTGAACATTTTCGACGCGTGATTGCGACGAATTTGATCGACGAGATAAATAGGTTCTCTTAATTGAATAGTGTATTTTGAAAGTGTTTCAGAATATGAACTGTGTTGTGTCATTATAATATTATAAATAAGGAGTTTCAGTCCCTTTTTAGTTATTCAGCATGTATTTCATGTACCACTGCAGTGTCTTCCAGAAGGCTTTGTGTTGGACAGTGTTCTGCAAAACTCGTGGCTGTGCTGTGATTAAACACATGATCGTCTTTAATTTGTAATGATAGACTGTTTATGTGTTGTTAATTGAGGGTTTCTTTCCTTCTAGGTTAGCGTTATACGTGTACGAATATTTATTACACGTAGGAGCTCAAAAAGCAGCACAAACCTTCCTGTCAGAGGTATGTTGTTACAATAAACATTAGTTTGTACTTGCACGTGGTCTTGCCACTAGTTGGCGCTTAGTGAAATTGGAAGTACCCTATCCAGATCGTACACTGATAACTGGCCCCAGTTCTGTGTTGTTGCTTGAAGTTATAATTGTGTAGATTTAGCTACCCAGTCCTAAATAAAGCATAAACGCTGGAAAGACTTGGCTGCGACCCAAAATCTTTCATGGGGCAGACATTTTTAGTATTTGTGAGTTAACAGGAGGTTGAATAGTTGTGGTATGTTTGGGGAGAACAATGCTACGTCTTTCTCTGAATCTTTCCTGCTAAAAGGGGGGAAATACCTGGCAGTAACCCAGGTTCTTTCATACATTTTTAGTTGTTACCCCCCTTGACAATAGAAATAAAGGGTAACGGGCATAACGTCGATGGGGTGTTGGGCTCATGTTCTACAAACCCTCTCTGAAGGACGCCAGGTTGCCATGTTTAAGTTTTTAATGTAGGAACTGCCAAGCTATAGAAACTCGTCCCAACTCCGCATCATTCGCTAGCAATCAGAGCACAACATTCTTGTACAAAGATTTCCGGAAATGAATTAGACCTTGAAGTGATGGCGAACGTTAATAATGAAATGCCAATTGTTTAT